ATATATTTTTTTTTTTTTTTTTTTTTTTTTTTGAATGTCTCATCCGCAAAGTATCATTTTCTGTGTAAGACTGTTCTAGTTATGTATGACTTTACTTTTTGCATATTTTATTCAGTGGTCTCTCCAAATATGATTTTTTTTTTCATGTCTTAAATACATTTTTGTGTTAAAATGTCTGAACTTGTGTTTGTTTGAACAGTGAGGCAAGAAAGCAAAACAAGTTCACAAGTATTCCATAAATACAGAAGTAGAAAAGTAGTACAAGTAGTGTCATTCGATGTCCCTGCAAAAATTCAGTTCTGTAAGAGTAATAAGATGAAGCTTAAGGACAAATTGCAAATTGTAAAAAAAAAAAGAAAAGAAAAGTGAAAGTCCTTACAAGAAAGAAAAAGTAAAAGCCTTTTTACCCAATTCTGACCAACCACAATACTTTTAAAGAACAAAATCTGGGTTAAAGGGATAGATAGTTCACCCAAAAATAAATTTATATGATCATTTTGGGTTCTCTAGTCTGTCTCTAGTTACAAAAGTAAAGACAGAATAATAGATCTCTAGTCTGTCTCTCCACTTGGATTCACTCTGCTTAACAATTAGGGTGCTTTCACACTAGCACTTATGGTGCGCACCCGGGTTCGATTGACGTCAGAGTTCGGTACGTTTGGATGATGTGAACGCTGTCTTCCGAACTCGGGTGCGCACCCGGGGACCGTACCCGAGTCCGCTTAAAAAGGGTGGTCTGGGGTACGGCTCAAGTGAACTCTGGTACGGTTTGCTGCTGCTGTGAATGCAATCGTACCAAATCACGGAAGTGAACCGCTATTAATAACGTATTATTTGATAAAAATGTGTGTTTGTGTGTGTTTCACTCACTTTCTTGACGAGCGTGACTGACGCGCTGCAAGCAGAGAGCTGTATATCTCATTTCTGTTCACCTTCAGAGTACTTTAGAGCATTTGCAGTACATTCGTAAGGCACGTAAGTGCCATTATGTACTGAAGCTTTGGAAACAAAACCCACGGTTCAAAAACATAAATATAAAATTGAAGAGAGCCTTGCTACGCATTTTGCCGTCTTCTCCTGCGCCATCGTTAATAAGCAACTGGGTAAACAGCTGCTGGCTTGATGACGCAAACGAACCGTGGTTCGGACCGAAATAATATAATGTGAACACAGTCCAGCGGGGGCAGGGGAGGGGGGAGCAATCGAACTCGGGTTCGGACCAAGCAATCGAACCAAGTGTGAAAGCACCCTTAGACAACCAGATATCTCTCAACCACTGGTTAAAATGTAAAGTTAAAAGCAAAGTGTAATATTTGCAAAGTCAAAGAGCCCCTTTAAATTTGAGCGCAAGAATAGGCTTTAACAGCTGTAAGCATTAGAAAAGTGGAAACTTTGGTGTTTAAATTTTACAAATTAGAAATGTATATGGATGTTCATTCAGTAGATGGCTAGCAGAAGTGGTCTCTGGCCACCTAATTAAGACAAATTACATTCTGTGTGGAAAACACTTTAGCCTCCATGTTTTTTGTTTTTTTTGCCAAGTATTCTGCCTTCAGACTAATTTAAGGTATAAGCATATTTATCACTTTAGCCATGGGTGATTAACTCTTCAGTCCTTTCAATCATCAGGACAGAGTTAAATGTGACATACCGTTAGACTTTTGGGAATTAAAGCAAACACTCATTTTCATTGCAGCATAATTGTTTATTTGACAACAGAAACTGAAGGGTTGCTGAAGATGGGAAAAACATTTTTGAGATCTCGGTGCTTCATGCAATGACAATGATAGAACAAACAGTGATGGAAGTGAGCCATGTGTAGTGAGCCAACAGAACAAAGTGTGAAAGTTGTAACATGTTATAGTGTAATGAAACCATATTTTAATTTTCAGAGATACAATAAAGGAAGTTTTAGAACTTGGTCAGCCCATCATTTACATATCGTCATCCAGGGAAATAATCTACAAATGAAGTGTTTTAGTTGTTGAAGTCTTTTTTTAAAAAAGGCTTTGATTGGTTTATTGAATAGAGCACAGTTCCGGTCACTTTTTGCTCCAGTGCTTTCCAACGTGTAAACCGTGTTACACCAGAGATTATTCTCATCTGTTCTGTTTGTGACATTAATGATATTAAACGTCTCATATGGAGGAATCAGCACCTCTTTCTCACCAGGATAATTAGAATATTTTGTAATATTAGCACCTTCACAAGTTATGATTTCAAAACAAGATACCTTTCCAAAACCTTTTGCAACTGCACGATCAAGAGAAGAAGATGTAAATGTGCCAAAACGAACATCTTTGTTCAGAACATCCAAATTAAATTTAACATTTGTACCACGAAAAGTTGAAATACATGCATTTTGTGCTTTATTCAGAATCTGTATCGCATCGGTTAAGAAAAAGTGAAGTGAATACCATTCAAATGTCTTGTCTTTGTAGTTTTGTTTTTCATTGCGAACAGCATTAGTGAACTTATTATATACATGATTGCCAGTGTAAATGTAAATGGCGGATAAATGATCACTTGTCAAGTTATCTTCTGGTGGTGTGGCATTCTTATTATCTTTTTTCGAAGCATCTTTAAATTCTTTCTTTAGATATTTTTTCACCACCAGGTTTGCCATTTTCTCTCTACAACCTTCATATTGATCATCAACTGAATTTGGTGCCATATCCAATGGATATATCTTCCTTGCAGCAGCAACAGCAGCATCTCTGTGATCCTGCAGCAACAGGAATCATAATGATGAATCATCAGTATTCATGTCTGTAATATTCATACTAGAACACAAGCTTACCTGTCCTAGAGCAGCTGAAATTATGATAAAATGTCCTAGAGCAGCTAAAAGTAGAGCTTTAATGATCAGCAGCATCTTGATTCAGTCTAATTTCCTCAGATGCTGCAAGACAACCAGAAACACAACGGCATTTTACAAATCCTATATCTGTTACTCGATAAAGGAATGTGTGCACAACGAACCTGCAAACATGTTCACCGCAACTTCTTACATAATACAGTTTTAAATTTATGTAACTGGTATTTTCTGCCAAATAGCAGAAAGTTTAAAATAATTGCCACCTCCCAAATTACCTGAAAATATGGTTGTCTTTTAGCGTTATTTGTCAGGAGTTCGGGAGAAACAATGAGAGGTGAAGATTAGAAAAGTCAGTCGCTGACAGACGACAACAGCGATCTTCAAACATAAGGATCAGAAAGTTAGCGTTTTTATATTGGATATAATGTGTGTGTGTGTGTTCCGGGGAATCACGTGTGTGATAAGAATTTATGCTTCATGACATGAGGCAGTACTATCTCTCATTATTTCCATTCTGTAATCAGGTAACTGCAGTAAGGAACTGAAGAAAATAAAGAGAAATCTAGAAATTAAAGCACCTCTGAAGTACCTTCCTATTTAAACAAATTCACAAATGTGATGCACCCAAATATAAATGCTTGTAATTCTTGAATCTCTTTGACTACAGACATGATCTTGGACTCTTTTGAAAACAACAATTCACTCCTCAAGCCTCAGAGAGAGAGAAACAATAAAGAATAAAGACTCTTGAAAATTTTATTTTGTAGTGGTGGCCAGAAGAACATCTGTTAAAGTTTATTTGGGACTGGACTTAAGATACCATCTTGTTTTTTTATCAAATGTGTACTATACTATACTATAACATACATTAACAGTAACCACTTTCAACTGACCAACACATGACCTCTTTCAACATGAGACTGTGATATCAGAAATGTGAAGGAGATTAAAGGCTCAGGGAATGCAAATGCAATGATTGTAATTCAAAAATTGTATAAGATACAGATAAAGACATTCGTTAAGGTTCATTTGTATCCTCGTCTGTTATCTGACACCTGTAGGAAAAAGAAGTGAACTGGACTGTGGCATACACTGAGCCTCAGATATTCAGTATAACATATGTTCTGTCTGGCCAGGGTTACACAATTGAAACATCCAGTCTTTACTCTTCTTCATGGTCACTTACAGCAACTTTGAGGCTTGAGGAGTGAAATGATACATTTTAAAATAGTTGTCTGTATAGTTGAAGGGGTTCAGGAACAACAAGCATTTTAAATTATAGTATATTTCTAGACATACACAGTACAAAGTCTGATGTTTTATTTACAGTAAATCAACGATTTTAAATCCTTTCTCAAATTCATTTACAGTTATTAAATGGTTATATAATGGAAGCATCTTTTCATTTGAAGAAATGCAATGAATGAAGATTTAAATTTTGTCCAGTCTGAACATTTACATGTTGTGATCTGGAAGAGTACAACATACATTTTTCAGTATTTTTCAGGGCCTTGGTTGGTTTCTTGAGTATCACTGCACAATTGCTTTCACACATATATTTTTTTAGTAAATATCACTCATTTTGTGAGGCCCAAAGATCTTCCAAAAATATTTCTAGTCATTTTGAATGTGACGATTTGAATGTTTTAAAAGATCAATGTTGGAACAAAAATTGCTTTTGTCAAAAAGCATATTCTTAATATTACGTGAATAAATCATATGAAATGATGCCCAAACACATATCTTTACAGTCGATAATGGCTTTTTCCTTTTAAAGAGATTACAAAAGTAAAGACAGAATAATAGATTTAGATGAGGACTGGGCTGTGACTCAAACTATATGACTTTTTGTGCTGTTGTGGATGCAGAAAGTTTTATTTTTAATATATTGTGGTCTCCTGATGGTTGATTTATAGACCTATGAAATTTTAAATTGTATTTTCATAAGTCCAGTCCCCTGATATACTTCCAGAGGCTTGAGGAGTGAAGTGTTGGCTTTAAAAAGAGCCCAATATAATGACTGTAGTCAAAGGTGTTCAAGAACTACAAGCATTTTTATTTGGGTGCATCTGAATCTGATCTAGAAGGGAGGTACTTCAGTTGAAAGTTCCAGAATTGTTCGTTACTCGCTTCTGATAATTTCAGTTTATGTAGATTTCTGTTTTATATTACACTTTCATGTTACACTGTTCTGTTTAAGGAATGAGAACAACGACAGGCTATATAGTTCCTCATGTAATTATGCATAATTTCTTATCACACTTGTGACGTCTCGGAGCACACACACACACCATAAGTGATATGAAAAAGCCAACATTCACTTCTCTCATCTTCTACTCACATCATTGCACCTGAACCCTTGTGTTTCTGGTTGTCTTTCACTAGATCTACAAGATCATCTGAGGGATTTTAATGACTCAAGATGCTGCTGATCACTGAAGCTCTTCTTCTCATTTTAGCTGCTCTAGGACAGGTAAGCTTGTGTTCTAGTATGAATATTACAGACATGAATACTGATGATTGATCATTATAATTCCTGTTGCTGCAGGATCACAGAGATGCTGTTGAAGGACAAATATTTCCACTGGATATGGCACTGAATTCTGTTGATGATCAATATGAGGGCTGTAGAGAGAAAATGACACACCTAGTGGAGACAGAATATCTAAATAAAGAAATATCTAACTTGCCTGATTGTAAGAAGACTTGGCAAGATGGTGAAAGATATGCTAGAACACCAGAAGATAACTTGACAAGGAATAATTTAATTGCCATTTATGTGTACACCAACTCAGATATAAATGTTTATCGTGATTTCAATAATGCTGTTCGTAATGGTAAACAAAAATATGACGACAAGACATTTACATGGTATTCACTTCAATTTCTGTTAACAGAAGCGATACAGATTTTGAACAAAACACAAAAGAAATGCTATTCAACTTATCGTGGTACAAATGTTACATTTAATAAGCATGTTCTGAACAAAGAGGTTCGCTTTGGCTCATTTACATCATCATCTCTTGATCGTACAGTCGCAGAGGGTTTTGGATCTAAATCTTGTTTTGAAATCTACACTTGTGAAGGTGCTGATCTGAAAAAATACTCAAAGTTTCCCAATGAACAAGAGGTGCTGATTCCTCCATATGAGAAGTTTAAAGTCACTGCTGTCAAAACAAGAAGAGATGAGCCTGATCTCTGGTGTGACACTGTGTTCACTTTGAAAAGCTCTGGAACAAGAAGTGACCTGAACTGTGCTCTGTTTAAGAAACCAACCAAGACCTTAAAAAATACTTCAAAATGTATGTTGAGTCATTTGAATTCACATTATTACATGAGCTTCACACAGCTCAATTACTTAATTACCTGCACATAATTTTCCCCCTTGTTGTTCAATTGAATGTGTAATTTTTAGAAATTGGAATAAAGTTTTTGGTAAGTGATCCAGTTTACTTTCTTCAAACTGATGTTATATGTATGTTATTATCAGAATCAGAAGAGCTTTATTACCAAGAATGCTTACACACACAAGGAATTTGATTTGACGACAGGAGCTTCCAGTGAAAAAATACAAACATAATGCAGACATACATGATAGTGCAGACATACATAGGAATAACACAGTAGGGATGTAAGAAAAAAAAACATTAAATACTGTACTATATACAGAAATAGAAGTATAGGAATTTTTTTTTATTGTTTAGATAAATGTACAGATATGTTATTAGTGTAGGATTTCTATCATGAACAGACACAGATACGCCATTGAATCAACTCATCACGAGGTCTAAACTAATCAGAATCAGGAGACAACAAAGCTTTCTTTGTATCAAGGACTAAAAAAAGTTCTTTCACAACCTATAGATACCTTGTGTTACGACCTCTAGGGGTTAGCCGTAACAGAAAAAGGATTTGAATTCACACCAGAGAGATGCCAAATAAACAATTTTATTTGCTTTACACGGGAGTATCTTCAGGGGCAGACAAGGCCAAAACAATAAACAAAACAGACTTTTCTTTGTCAACTAAATAACCTCAAACAGAATTAAAAACAAAATACAGACCAACTTACCTACCTCCCTCAACCAAAAACAAAGTGAAAAAAAGATACCTAAATAAAATGGCGTCTAACCCCCTACATCCCTTACTTTGGCAAACTAGTATTTACAAGAATATTTACAAAGTTATTTACAAAGTTTACGGGCGTACACACAGCAGAATCAGAATCCAAACCGTAGTCAAGACAAGCAACGTTCAGATAAACCAGGGTTTCAGAATTTGATCTTACAATAATAAACACTAAACAGATTCAATACACTTAGAATAGCTCTCTCTCTCCGGTACACAACCCTACAACAAACGACTGCGATACATACAATAGCAAGAAACAGTTCATCAGAACGTTAGCGCAACATTATGAGTCCCTTATGAGTGTTTGGGGCGGTCCTTATATCTGGGTAGGGTGTCACCATCACCAATCACCACCTCCCGTGTAGGTGTAGGGATGAGCCCTTCCGAATGGAACGCAGGGCCTATGCGTGCTCCTGTTGTTTAGCCAGTTACTCCAGTTGCTGCTGAGGGTGAGGTAGGACCTTCATATTCTTTACCAAAGCTTGAGCCGTTATCTCAGTAGGATTTCTATCGAACAGACACAGATACGCCATTGAATCAACTCATCACGAGGTCTAAACTAATCAGAATCAGGAGACAACAAAGCTTTCTTTGTATCAAGGACTAAAAAAAGTTCTTTCACAACCTATAGATACCTTGTGTTACGACCTCTAGGGGTTAGCCGTAACAGAAAAAGGATTTGAATTCACACCAGAGAGATGCCAAATAAACAATTTTATTTGCTTTACACGGGAGTATCTTCAGGGGCAGACAAGGCCAAAACAATAAACAAAACAGACTTTTCTTTGTCAACTAAATAACCTCAAACAGAATTAAAAACAAAATACAGACCAACTTACCTACCTCCCTCAACCAAAAACAAAGTGAAAAAAAGATACCTAAATAAAATGGCGTCTAACCCCCTACATCCCTTACTTTGGCAAACTAGTATTTACAAGAATATTTACAAAGTTATTTACAAAGTTTACGGGCGTACACACAGCAGAATCAGAATCCAAACCGTAGTCAAGACAAGCAACGTTCAGATAAACCAGGGTTTCAGAATTTGATCTTACAATAATAAACACTAAACAGATTCAATACACTTAGAATAGCTCTCTCTCTCCGGTACACAACCCTACAACAAACGACTGCGATACATACAAAGTATCTTCAGGGGCAGACAAGGCCAAAACAATAAACAAAACAGACTTTTCTTTGTCAACTAAATAACCTCAAACAGAATTAAAAACAAAATACAGACCAACTTACCTACCTCCCTCAACCAAAAACAAAGTGAAAAAAAGATACCTAAATAAAATGGCGTCTAACCCCCTACATCCCTTACTTTGGCAAACTAGTATTTACAAGAATATTTACAAAGTTATTTACAAAGTTTACGGGCGTACACACAGCAGAATCAGAATCCAAACCGTAGTCAAGACAAGCAACGTTCAGATAAACCAGGGTTTCAGAATTTGATCTTACAATAATAAACACTAAACAGATTCAATACACTTAGAATAGCTCTCTCTCTCCGGTACACAACCCTACAACAAACGACTGCGATACATACAATAGCAAGAAACAGTTCATCAGAACGTTAGCGCAACATTATGAGTCCCTTATGAGTGTTTGGGGCGGTCCTTATATCTGGGTAGGGTGTCACCATCACCAATCACCACCTCCCGCTGGTTAACAGAGGCCACACCCATCTGGAACACAAACATGTCGACACACGAGCAGAGAGATCAAATACATACCAAAACAGTACACAGATGTATAGACTATCTTAAAGGTCATAACACTTGTGATGTCTTGTGATCGCCAGTGAATAGAACCAGTGTAGGCACAGGAAGGATTTTTCACTGATACCCTCAGGCCTGCAAAAAACAACGGATCTAAAGAACAGTGATAACGTGATTCAATCAAACTCAGCCAAAACAGTACACAGATGTATAGACTATCTTAAAGGTCATAACACTTGTGATGTCTTGTGATCGCCAGTGAATGGAACCAGTGTAGGCACAGGAAGGATAATTCGCTGATACCCTCAGGCCTGCAAAACAACGGATCTAAAGAACAGTGATAACGTGATTCAATCAAACTCAGCAAACCACCGCGTGACTTTTATGGACCTCAGGAAATTCCTCTCTCTATCTATGCCTCCCAGAGGAAACGCGCCCTCTTCTTAACAAAGAAACGCAGACGTTGCATGGACCAAGTTTAAAAGACAATCATTTAACCTCCTGGGGTTGACAGTTCTGCCGGCGGAACTTTTTGCAGATTTGAATGATGACAGCGAAAAGAACTAACATCCCAGCTAACACAATTACGTAACTGTTACGTAACTGCAACGTAATCTGGTGACCAAAGTTTCGTCGTGGCGTGGCAACCGGAAAAGTGAAAGGTGCGTGTAACTTTGTGACGTGTTCAGTAAGTAACAGCGACGTCGTGGCAACGTCATGGCGACCTCGTGGATCCATAGTCGTGTGTTGGTAACCAGTTCCTCATTTTAATGTTCTCAAGGTCCTCCAATTCCTCCTTGCACTGAGCTGTCTTGAGGTCCAAAATATCATCCTCCCTTTGACGACTCTGGTTCCTCTGCAATAGAAGTAGAATTTCCCTCTGGGAGACCGCCAGGCTTTCTACTTTCTGCAGCAGCACATGCAGTGTTTCTGCAATAAGTGTTTTTTTTTTTTTTTACAGAATAATTCACACAAAAATAAAAAAAATAATTTAAGAGGTAATTTAGAGGTAAACGCATTTGTGTACACCTTTTTGATCACATTTAAATGCCACATCGGATGCCGTGCGCGTGCTCAAGGTGCTGTATTAGAGGTAAAAAATGATATAAATACTGTTCGTTTCTCGCACAAACCGATCGTTTCGTGTCTTAGGACATCAATGTGTCATCACGAGCCACAGGGTTTCATTTGGCTGAAGAATAATCAAACATGCCTGTCTGTACATTTCAAGAAATCCGGAAGACTTTTTAAAAAAATAAAATGACCTCTGTTCCTCATGATTTTCTTTTGCAATTTGATCATTTGTTATTTTGTTGCTGATTATTTCATAGTAAAGTATACATATATTGTTACAAAACAGTTGAAAGTGTGTTTGTGTGCGGTTGATGTCTATGAACACCATCTGCGTTCTGTTTGAACAGAAAACAATCATTAAGTGTAATGTGTTTATCACCTCCCTACCATAAACACACATGTTTAGTGCTGCTCTGATCTTAATGCTACCAAGTATGTTAAACATAAATAATAAGTTCATTAATCAATTCCAATTTAAACATTGAATTACTAGTCGTTAACTAAGAGTAACATGTTCTCTCTCTTTTTCCTCCCCCTCTCCCTTACCCATCTTTTCAACAAATACATTATAATTGTGTATAAGTGTGTTAACACAGTAATTCATTATATATATATACACACACACACACAAACACATTTTTTTATTTCATACTTGTCAACTCAAAATGACCTCTAAATAAAAGGAAGCGCTGGTGACACCTGCTGGTCAAAATCAGGAATGTGCCATTTAACAGCCTAAATTAGGGTATGATTATGACGGGCACATTTTCCAGCTTTAAGGGCATTATTTTATTTTTTTTTATAATTGCCTAACTAAAAATGTTGTCCTTTCTGTCAAAGAGTTAAATTAACCAAACCTAAAACGTTTACAAAAAATATATATACAAATGATAAAATTAAACGGAATTCATTACTGAATACAGGCTGCAATATTACAAAAAAAAGATAATTGTCGATTATTGCTCACGGTATTGTAATAATGAAACAAAAGAATACATTAATCATGTTAAGTTCATTCTTGTATGCATGCACAGTCAATAACCGCTCATGAACTAGTTAATTGCTTCTTACGCATTAGACAACCAAGACACTTGTATTTTAGTAACACGAAAAGCAAAACGATTATAAATGAATACCTTACTTACATCGTATCTGCTCTAAGTTCTTAGGGAAAGAATTTGCAGTTTTCAGTCAGTGTTTTCAGTGCGCACTGAGCACATGGCTTGAACACAGCAAACTCCCGCGGTTTGATTCTGGGTGTGTTCGACTTGAAGCAGACAAATCGTTGTATGACATCAAAGTACTGCGAGAGCGAGCGATTCGAAAACATAAGGAGCTATCTGCTCTTTTGTTGCTCTCGCGGTACTTTG